TAGGAAACCTAACCACATTAAAATCACCCCCAATGCACACTGGTAAGTTCCACCACGTCATCATACCAACCAATTCATCCTACAAGCTTCTTCTGTTCTCATTTGCGTTAGGCCCATAAACTCCTATAAACATCCATTTAAATCTATCCCCAACATTACTAAACGAAAGTGATAGTGAGAATAACCCTACGCTAACCTCCTCCATATAAATAACTTTCAGCATTCATTGACAATTCACAGGGGAATTTTACTTTACATGCTATTTTCGTTTGTGCACGTTTTGTGTGCTTGGGTGGTTGGGGGAGTGCATATTCCCATCCAGTTGCAAAGCTAGCTTCTTGCCACAACAGTAATCTAGAAACATTAAAGCATAACCCAAAACATCCCATAGCAGTAGTTATGCATTAAAAAAGCACACAAAAATTATGCTTTAATTCGAAAATGTTACCAATCTCTAAAACACATATGGATAGATAAATATTGTAGCAAAGAGATGAAAAGAAAACCATTTAATGGAAGATAAAAGCATGAATCAATACAGAACGCAAGTGCATCAAATCTTGTATACCGTATTCTAAAGCTAGGGACATATTCTCTGGTATCTGCATGTTTTAAACTGCATAGGTACATATCAAAGATGATCAGAAAGAGCCAAAGAGGCTTTGCCTGGCATATTTTCATGGAAATGATAATGCTAGAGAAGTAGTCATATAATCAAGGAAACTAATTATGCAAGGGGTGTATCAATAGGAACTCAATGATCCTATTTGGTCAACTACCCTACCTTGATTTACAACTTCTGTTGCATACATCTGTTATCTTTATTTGAAAGAAAAGGGGGGATTATATCTCATTTGGTTCAAATTCATTCTGTTGACTAGAGCATATACTGTTTATAATCATGTCGGAACAAGGATAGGCATTGCAGCATTGTTGGGTATTTTGATACCAAATAAACTTTGGAGGGCGATGATGAATAATCGGAATGTATACTAGATTCAATTAGTTTCACTGGAAACTTATAATTGAATGCACTTAAATGATATTTGAATCGAAAATCACACTTGGTAGCCCAAGTTACAAAGAAGGATCAAGACCACTCAACGGGCTCGACCCATTACTTGACATATTATTATTACATATATATAGGTGTGTGTCCTTTGTGTTTTAACACAACACATGGCACTTCCTTGGCTATTCTTGAGACCTCTGGGCTGTGCTTCTTTCTCTTTGGTTTTGTACCTAGCGACTACCTTGTGTCTTTCACCTTTGTGGCTGCTCCTCCTGCCGGCTCTTTATAGGCAATTTCTGCACCGATTTTGTACATCTATTCGTGCATTTTACCCACTGTTTGTTGTCCCGTTTCACCCCCCAATTTTGCTGCCTCCGTGCACAAGTTTGGTCGGGTTTCGGGTATCCTTCGTGGTCCATTTTGAGTGCGTAATCTTGGTCTAATTTGTGTGGTTTTGGCTCTTGATTTAATCCTCGATCCATCCACTTTTGGTGCCAATTATTTGGAGCTTTGATAGAGAAGTTTGATTTTTGATTTACTTTGATTATTTCCATTATCTATTGCATAGTTAACTTACTCTATGTTTGTTGATTGATTGATAGAAGCGCTTTTATCACTACAAGCATAACATACAACACTATCCACCATACTATATGCTTGAAATTCTGGACATAGCTCTCTGAAACTACTTTATTAAATCTTATTTCTTAACAATTAAATAGAACCAGATCTCTACAATCATCTATCAATTTTCTACAGATATAGAAATGTAGCATCAAGATGTTAAGAAGGCAAATCGATATCCCGAAAAAATTGTTTAGTGGTACAATAATACCTTGTGGTGATGGACACTGTTGAGATAAACTGCGTAATCATAGGTAAGCTTCAATTTTTGTGGGTTCTCCGAATTGATATTATTCCTGAATTCTTGCTTGATGAAATCAGTGAAATGAGATTTATGCTCTTCTTTTCCTATGTGTTTCCTCACTGCTTTCAGAATGTC